TGCATCCAAAAACAGGAGCAGTTACATGCGCTTACGGTAAGTAAATCAGACTGCGAAACAGCTGGATACTTTTCCGGCGTAATTCAGGAGCAATTACATTTAGTAGTTGCTCTAAAACATTGGAGATGTTATGTCATGCTTCTATATAACTTTATAACTGTTCATAGCACGCGAACTAATTTGTCCTGAAAAGCTGAGGAAGCTCTTAGATTATCGTGATTAGGATATTATTAGCAACAGAGACGAAGAGGATTTACTGTAATGCCTCAGTTAATCGATGTTATACTGCAACAAATGGTGCGAATACTTCTGCTTTTCAACTATCTCATCACCCAAAATAAAACGAGCTTCTACTGGTTTGGTATTAGGCCGTTGACCTATGAATAGTAACAACTTTGTGCCGTGCGTGGTCATGCCAGAATTGCTAGAATATGCGAGGGGTCAAGTCATTCTGCCTGCCTGATGTGTCTTACGGCTGCAATTCACATGGACTCGCCTGATTCCTCTAAACAGGAGGAACTACGATTACGTCAACCTCGCTAGAGAGATCCACATCAAAAATGTGAAACACGCTGGCGGTTGTTAATAACAGATTAACGTGTCCTGATCACGTGGTTTGAGCCATCAGGAAGCTCTAGAAAATTTCTGGGAGCCGCCTATGATTTGCACTGGTTACGCTGATAGCGATCGTGCTTTACAAGGTGTTGCATAATGCCAATTAACGGTTCTCCAGTCTATTTTGGAGGATAATTTTGCACTTGGGTTTAAAGATTTAGAAGATTACACCGACCTCGCCATTAGGACCATTGTGAACCGTTTATACCACTTTGATCTTCTTCGCTGAATGGATACCGCAAGTCAGCATTCACCTACTTCACACAGATCTAACAGCCTGCCACAATCAGAGTTCCGCTACACAACGAGACGACATCATTCAAAAAACGATAATTAAACTTAGTTTGTACCGTCCTACTTTAAACACTCGGCTCTTGCTTTCTAGACGTTTAACGTAATAACTGTCTTGCTGTTGTACACTGTATATATCCGGCTACTGAAAGCAGGAAGAAACATCTTTCTACATAACATTAATAAACATTGAATGCTGATAGTCGACTGCAAACAAACCACAAGTAAGTTAATGAAAAATCTGCCATCATTAATTTTAATATTATATATCAACTGCGGCTTCGAAAGCTCCCACTCTTGGAGTCTACTCCAGAACATCAGCGTTGGTCTCTTATTGTAAATCAAAGATAGAATAGAATAAACCGATTATGCATACCAACGACGACATCGAGCGCTTGTAGCTGAGTAAAACTGAGTCATGCGTTGGTACCGTTCTGAAATATCTGTTTAATCGGCATCTAGGTTATTTTGCATTTTTCATCGATTTCAATAAATAACGAAAAACATAAACCAATTACAAGTAATCACAACAAGTGTTTTCATTTACAAGGCACAACAATAATCGATGACTAGACAACGGTGGGTTTAAGTCGCTTGTGCAGCACTTCGGATTTCGTTTCTTCCTCATCCGGATCAGAACTGTAGTTGTCGTTTGGATCTGACGGTGATAAAGCAACAGTAATAACATCACTGAATTCGACCTTTTGCCTAATGGACTTTCTCTTTGGTTTGGTCAGCAGCGACGAAGGAGGCTTCGATTCACCGGAAAGCCGTAAAGTTTCGTAGGTGATTCGGCCCCCTGGTTTCGAGCTTGATTCTGAAGAATAAGACGCTCTGCTCACCAGATGCGAGGACGAAGACTTAGTGACCTGAGAAGGCCTTGTGCACATGAACGTGTCAACATACTGTCCTTTCGTGGGCACGGCTTTCGCGAAGCTGGTGGATGAACGACAGCTGTACAGAGCGGTAGACACAGCGGCAGGAGGAGGTACTTCGGCAGCTAAGGAAGAATTGGTAGCAGACTTGGCCAAAAACCTGCATGAATATTTATCCCGATTGTCACTCGTTTCCTGCACAGCACCAATTTTATTGCCTTTTCGAGAAAAATCTTGCAATGGAAGCATCTTCGAAAAAACATAGTCATCCCTTTGTTGCCAGATCTCGTCAGATCCGGAGTGAAAAGACTTCGCTTCCTGTTTCAGCAGACTGTCCTCCCCTTTCCTACGCTGGAATGGCTTGGAATCTATGCTAGTTCCTGACAGGACAGTGGCGGTGACCACACTTTTACTATCCGCCTTGGAAGGATAATATCTGCCAGAGTTCCTGGATAGAGTTTGTGGGTAAGGAGGATCGTCGCTTTGCCTAATTAAACGCTTCTTCGGGTTTATTGTGCGGTATGTGGGAGCAAGTTCGTAGTTGTCATAAACTTTTGTGACTTCCTGTACATCGTTTTGAGATAAATTTGTGTCCAGCATTTTTTGTGAAGTCTTCGAGATGACTAGAGGTTCGTTCGGTTCCATAGGATTAACAGGGCGTTGCTGGAGCTCGCTTTTCGTGCTTACCTCAAGCAGTTCCTTCAGCTGTCTCCTGCTTCTAGCTCTTTGCCAGTAAACCACAATCAACACAATTAAAACCAACAGTATCAACACTGATACACCGGAGACAAGAATTTCTTGGGAATAACCTGAAAATATGCATAAAAATAAATTTACTTCTGCGAATCTGCACGAGAGGAGAGACAAAAAATTGTTTTTCTTATCCGCAGTACAAAACATTTACAATTTGCTAGTAAACCAGAATACTGGCAATGACATTTATGAATATCAAATTTACGACCACGAAATTACTGCTCTACTTGGCTATATCTATAATACATTTAAAACAAACTTTTCAAGTACATTAAAATTTTACAAAAAAATGGCTGCTACAAGGAATCAAATCACTTCAAACCAAACAGGTTGCACGGAACCAAAATTTACACTCACAGTGAACAGTGTACTCCAAAATATAAAGTTCATAGTTTCGCGCAAGCTTTACAATGGTTTTTAAAGAACAGTACACCATGCGTGATTTTTCTCTGAAAAAGGATACCTCCGTGCCAAGCAAAAGGAATGCAACTTGGAACATAGCTCTGCAACAATTATCAAAGCAATGTGTTGTTAATAATTTAACCTATCCTGAAAAACTGCGGGTAAGGATGCAATACAAGTCAGATTAGAAATGCAGGTTACAGAACTAAATATATTGGCAGAGGCTGAGTATCCCTAATCCGAAATGCTTGTTTGGAATCAAGATTATTTTGGATTTTAGAATAATGATGCATGGTGGAAATGAGAAAAAACTTCAGACTTTTAAAATAATAAGCAACGTAGTCACAGATATCTCGCACTGACAATGCTTGACGGATTACTGCATACCGATAACAGCCGAATTAAGGAACGGGACCCTCATGAGAAGTTTTTCCTATTCGGTAGAAGCATGCCTATATGGAAACGATATTCGATGAAGAAATTCATAACGGGTCAAAATGGTTCAAAATATATACCGTTTAACACGCAATTTCACCCAAATTCTCCCCTAGAGCACATAAAATAACTGCTTCTGCTTTCTTTGAGTAACAAAATATCTGCTTTCTTTAAATTAACATATTTATGGCCCAAAACAGTGAGTTCCCATCCTAAGAGGCCTGCTGTGAGAGTAAAGTTACGCATGTTACAGAAAGTCCGTTAGCAGCCTTTTACAAATTACAAAAAAGAAACTTAATACGTTATTCCACAAACCGAAACGACCCGGATTTCGGTGCAGTACAATACCACCAGATACAAAAAGACATTTTCATATAGCTTATACAAGTTGGAAAGGAGGGGAACTGAGGAAGGGAATGGAAGTTAGGAGCTAATGGGTTATTCCCATGGTAAAATGCAAGCATAAAAACAAGGTAGGTTTGAAGTGTTCTCCCTTTTGACCCTGTAGACAAAACGAGTAATGACCAAGTGTGTTCAAGAATGGGACGTAGAAAACTTCCGATGATCTTTGACCATCCGGCCTTCGTTAGGGACAGAGGGAGGTTCTTTTCTGATTAGCCGGGTATGAGATGATACGACTACCGATGGAACGTCGAGGGAAAAAGAGAGGGAAGGGTTCAGAGGCTGCTGTTCATATCATCCAAAGATATTTCAAAAAACTCAGGACTGAGAAGCGAGTTAAAACAACGTTACGGATAGCAACATATTTCGAATTTAGGAATTTCGGATTGCAGACACTCAACATGTACAAGATGACGCTTTCGAAACCTGACATTTTCCATCTTTGTGGCAGCACCAACCGAAGCCTAAGCATCATGCTAAGAATAAGCTTAATAGTAAGCCTATGCCTAAACCTAAAATTACGCTAAGCCTATATATAAGCGCAATACTACGCCTGTGATTGAAATTAATGATAGCCTCACACCTAAGCCTAGAGCAACAAGCTAAAGATAATATCAGTTATCGTTAATTTCATACAGTGCCAAAACTAACAGTGGCTAAAACGGTCCACGAAACTAAAACTTCCTAAAAAACAACTCAATGACATCTGACGGAAAATTGATTTCAAGATCTTGTTAAGGAGGCGTGTTTTTGAAAAATACTCCAAATCCAAAGATTCGCCATTTTCATAAATTGAGACTTGCACCATTCGTGAATGAGTTTAAAGATTTTAGCGGTTCGTTATACCTACATATGTTGCTTAATGACCCTACAAGTAAAAAAGTCTTGATATGATTCCCGGAAGCTAAAGAAGGTGAATGCCTCGAATTACAGTGGAACCGTGCACAAAGCTACGTAACGTGCGGCCCAATGAAATGATGTCTATTAATAAAATTGTGACATGAAAATCCACTTTCCTACGTTGTTGACAACAGCTGCTGAAGCATTACTGACGGCAACAGGTATCATGCCAAAACAAACCATACCGGGCAATTTACTTCCTAAAATGGCATGGTGTCGTGGCCTGATTAAACGTCTCGGTACATTTTGGGCGAAAGTAGCTGTACCGCAGTGGCGAATGATTCATTTACGAAGAAATATGCTGATTAGGTAATAATATGAGCGCCAAATCTGACTTGCAAAATCGAAACGCGCTGGTAGCAGGCGAAGCGTGAACGACTTGGCATATCTGGACAAAGCATTCAGTACCTTCAATTAACCTCAGTCATTCATCTGCTGGCGTGATATAGCGATAGAACATATGGACAATAGCGACTGAGGAGTCAGTTTTGTCTCAGATTTTAAAATGTTAAAGATTAGAGAAAGACGCAGCAACACAATTCTACGTGCTGTCGGCTACAAGGTGCAGATCTGAAGAAAGCTATGCAACATCTTAAACAGCCATTATGAGCGTTCACTGTGTGTACAGGAACCAGGTCATTCTGAATCCGGTTCATTTCAGGCCTCAAATGACCTGTCAAGTCACTCTAGTTCTTGCATCCTCTAGTTCCAAGACCTCTTACGTTTAACCGGGAAATTCTGCACTGCTGATACAGATCATGTCGGTAGGTAGTCCATGTTTTTGCCCACACTTCGTTTGCGCTTTGTTTAGCAAAACCAAGTCCGTAGGAAGTTATGAGACTTACGCAATCACTAATTATAAACTATTTACAAATGCTAAAACTAAAATAACGCAACAAACCATGGTGAAGATAATTAATGACGTTGTTGACAAACTGACTGCAGTCTCTGCAATGCTGCTCAGGCAAGATGATATTAAGGGTGGTGCTAAAGTTCTGTCTAGTGGAACACCAGGACAACCACACTTAGCCGCGTCTTCAAAATCAACAAAATACATCGAGACAGCTAGAAGTCATGATTTCACTGATTAACGAATCGCAAAATTTTTCTAACAAAAATACAGTTTGAAGTAGCTCAAGTAAATTCTTTACTATGTTTGAAGTACAGTTCCAA